CTTCTGCACAGAGACTCTCACTCACATCGCTCTGCAGGTCATAGGCCTTCCTTGCATGGATCACGTCATTCTGGTCAGGCAGACACGTCCACTGGTGGAGGTAATGCCGGTAGTCGACATCACTGACCAGTGCCTGCCCTTCCTTGGCTGCCTGCAAGGACATCATGTCCACTGGGATGTGCACGTGGGACTTGGAATCGTTGTAGGCCTTGCGGTAGATTCGGTCGTTCTGCAGCTGCATCACGCGCGCAGCCCACGACAGCTTGGGGTCCTCCTTTGCAGTGCGGCACCCAATGTAGTGCCCCTTCTGCTTCTCATGCGTTTCCTTGTACTTGTACTGAGAAATGTAAAAGAAAAAAAATAGTCACATGCTTCTCATCGTAACATGGGGGACAAACAAAGGGCTCTTTCATTCTACCTCTGCCAGTCTTTTGAAAAACTTTCCCAGAGCTAATTCACCCAACACAGGCAAACCTCAGACCCCGAAAAGGTACTTCCCAAATCATCAGTGATTCTGGAAAAGCACAGCTAGCTTTTCTTATGACTTGCAAGCATTGAAGAACAGCATTGAAGCAGACACCTGTCACATCACACACGCACACTCCTGCATTCTGAGCACCAGGCACACCTCACACCCTTACGCAGACTTTCTTCTACCGTGGGTATTATGAGCATCGCAAGTCGTTCAGCAGCACCCACAATCATGACCCCACTAAAAGCACTTGTAATTATTGCTGCTGTCTGACAGATAACGTTTTGCTACTGAGCACTCCTAGCAACTTCACAAAGACTCCACGCAGAGCACTTGCCAGGAGGCCACTTCTAGCCTCTTTTGCAAGAGAAAGACGGACATGCTGAGCTCAGTTTCAAAATAACACAGGGACACAAAACACTGGACTGCTTCTAGCTCAACTGAACACCTCTCAGTTCTGCTCAGTTTGACACACACACAGACACACAGAACGGAACTTTTCAGTAAGACTGTACCTCACTGGCGATGTCTCTGGAAGCCTTGGCATGCTTGATGGAAATGGCGTCAGCTCTTAGGTCATAGCCTTTCGCCTTGGCCTCGTCCCAGTCCCTCTGATAGTGTTTCTGGAATCAACATTAACCACACGGTTTACATCTAGTAGACACACTGGAATAGGGATTTGTTCTTTTTTTTCTTAAAGCCCATGGTCTTCTGTCTCTACTGCTTGGGCTACTTGTTTGCCCCCCATAACTAAGAAAGAGGGTTACAGAAAGGAGTCTCACCAGGCTCTACCAAAAATTCAAGGGTTAATTTTAACACAGGCTCAAAACTCAAAACACAAAAAGGGGGCTTAAGCCTTCCTGAAGAAGGGTCACAGCACCCTGCTAAGCAGACCATGGGCACCAATTCACCATTTGCACCTCAAATGGGCAGGCTAAGGGGACA